AGATTTTCACCAAAACTTTATTCTTCTGCAGCGTAGGTATTTACTCTACTTTAAACTTTTACCTAGACGAAAGTAAGAGTTTGCACATACAGCTATTGACGTTATGAAAACTGTAAGCGTCTTTTGAGTTTACTTTGAAGCAATAAGAACGGGATTATCCCACAGAGAAAGTATGAATCAACTTAAGATATTACTTGCGGCAATAATAGGGATATTGGAAAGTACAGGCGGCTTAAACGTTAGATCTTCAGGTTTAGATTTAGGCGTCATATAAAATAAAAGCACAGATAAAAGTGGAATTGGATTTTAGAACTAATCTAACTTCTTAAGTGTCTGGAATCTGCTCATAATTCGTAAAAAGTTTCACAAGTCAATTTAAAATTCTCGAATTCCGGAAGAAGCGAAAATAAAATTTCTGTTACCAATTGAAAAAAAAAAAATTATTGTATTTAATCCAGTTAATAATGAGAAAAATAATATGCAAAATGTTACTAAACCAGAAAAAGAGGAAACGTAACTGGCCCGTTCAACTAAAAAGGAAGCGTATGGTATTGCACAATCCGTAGCGTTGCTCTCGTTATGTACCAACAGTTAGCTGGGATGAAATTGGCCAATTTGTTTATTTGTTTTCATTGGCCTCACTGAACTTGACTCCCCATTATCGCATTCACGGGAGGAAGGCGTATTATTTATTCGATTATTCCGTGGGACCGCGCCGGCTCGTCTTCGACATCAACTTGCCAAGTATTAATGTCAAATATTTGATTTCTGTAGAGCTAATCAAATTATAATATTTTAATAATTCTCAATGTGAAAGTTTATATTCATATTTCCTTATCTTGTTATCTTGACATTCGACTTCAAAAGTAAAGTTACAGCGATAATTGAAGCAATATTAAAATTACCAATCAACAAACTGAATTTGTTGATGTTTCTATTACAAGATTGAATTCTACGCAGTGGAAACAAATTGTAAAACATAACTTCTGTTTATATTTTTATTATTATTAGATTATAATTTGCGAATATAGGTTCTAAAATAGGCAAAAAATAATCAGGAATCAATACTGAAAAATTATAAATGCATTTTTTATACGACGCAAAGAAATTTATGTATATAATTACATAATTTTTCTTTATTTCTTATTGTATTTAACAATGTGGTTGGTAGATACCAAAATAACTTCAATTGTAAACCCTATTGGGCACAACAAGCAGGAGAGAAGAGGACAATCTTATTTTACTTTATAAATAGTTAATATATATAATGATATAACTTAGTAATCCATTGATTACATTTTCTTCTATTTATTTACATACATATATAGATATTTTAAACACGTTAGTTGGTAAATTAACATACCTAATGAATACAAAAGCTTCTTGATTATGGGTAAAGTTTAATTCGCAGACTGTGACAGAGTGAGTAAAATAATAACAACATGTTAGTATGTGGCATAAGATTATTAATACATGCTACATTATTATAATAAATGAATTATTGATGACGATTCTTCTGTAAATAATATTTATGTTTTCATAGAGACATATTACACTATTAACTCAAAAGAAACATACCGAAATCAATTAAGCACAATTGCATTTAATTTGCATGCCATTTTTTTACCATAAAGTAAGTGTAACAAAACTTAAACGATACAGTTTTTTTTTAATGGACGATAATGGAATGGTAACCTCGTCTGCGCTACGGTATACGCTGGCGAGGCACCAGTGAGGGACGATAGGTGAGAATGAATAGGCAGGTCAGTTAGCCCACCGTGATCAATACACCTGAAGTTCAGCACGATGATTTTCAGGGGGACCACGTGGAAGTGGACCTGACAAGATATTGGTAGTAATGGAACTAGTAGTTCTCATTACTAACAATACCTTCCCCCCAATGATACAGTTATTACATACCTATAGAAAATTAATATTAAAATGATATTAGAGAGTTCAGACAAAAGAAAACATTACAAGTGATATATTCGAGAAGATTTTGAACTTGGCAAGAGTTCGTTGTCAATAAATAATTTTTGTACTCTTAATATTATGTTGAGACTTTATTAAAAGTAAACGTTTTATCTTTATTACATTTAATAACTTTTTTCTCAAACATGCTTGGAAATGTGAGCATTATTTTGACAATCTTCTTCGAGATAAGTCAAAATTGCCGTACTGGCCAGCTACATGCGGGCAGCGGCCGGTAAAAGTTGTATGAAAATCCATATCTGTCGTGTTTTGCGGCCAGATAAATTACTATGTAAACTCATATCTGTCCTGTAATTTAAAAATGGAATGACCTTTTACTTCGAAACATGGCTACCAATGAGGTAACTAATAATTTAAGAATTCTCTAAAGAGCTTACTTTTCATTATAATCATTTTTGCTTATGGTCTCTCTTTATGTCTTTAGTACTTATATCCACATGATCTTATGTATTTAATAGTGTAATATACGCCTTATGAATACATTTTACAATTGAGTCCTATTTAGAATACAGTGATCAGAATATCCTTTTGTAATTCTCTTGTAGATTTACAATTATTATTTTTATAACAGTATTGTGCATACTCGAATTTTGTAATACTACAGTTGATATATGTAGTTAGATTTAGAAAACTATCGAGATTACATAAAAGATTTAAATAAACTATTAGATTACTAGAACTCCTGTTCGCGTTATATCTTTCGGCAGCTGTAACCAACAACATAATCCGTGTTGCAGTAAGTTTGGCCTATTTCTTCAGTATCGGGCAATAACTAATGCAACAATACAATGTAGAGCGTATTCACCTAATAATATAGAATATTACTCTCTATATTGGCTGAAATCCAAACCAATGTCAATTCTAAAGTACTAAACTTCGATTCGAACTCAGCGTTTGATATTTTAGTAACAATAAGTCAAGAATTTCGTCCGAGAATAATATTGAAGAAGTCAAATTCTTGTGAAGTACCGAAAAGCAGTTGTGTTTGCATGATTGTCTTTCGGTTTGAAGGGTGGAATATGACAGTGAATTTACAGGATACAGAATAACACCTGAGTCTTCAGGAATGACAATGCAGGAGGGGTATCAAAGGCGAAACAGTATACTCTGTTATGTCCATGGTACTGCTCATGTCTATAGGCGATGGTTACCACTTTCCATCAGGTGGGCCGTCAGCTTGTTTGCCGATGCTTGTTTGTTTTCAAATGCAATGAGGTGTTCATGAGGTATGGTTTCTAGTGTAATATTACAAAAGGTATCTAGCTGTAATAAATATTAAGTATGAGAATTTAGCTCTATCATCATAGCAAATGTAAGTACTTAGCTAACATATTGTATACAGGTCTCACATATTATGCAGTTACGATAGAACTGCAATTCGAACTGGAATGTTGAAACTGTAAAGTTTTCTGTATGTGCACGATCAGTAACATGTACACAGAGACAACTTTCAAATTCTTTTTTTGAAGTTATAAGTTACATAGGGGTCTGTAAGGTCCGTCCTCGCTTTTGGATACGGGCGACGAACCTGTCGACTTTAGTGGAAAGAATAGTGAATATTGAAGGAGCCAAACTAAACGTCAATAACAACAATCGAAAGATTTTCCTGTTATCTCATTGTATATATACTATATTTATCATTACAATTCGATCTGTAGAATGAATCGTAACATTTTATATTTACGTGAGGCCTGCGTGTTAGATAACAAGGTACAATACAAGGTACAGTAAAGACAGTTTTTTTTTTATACAACTTAGAATGGCAAACAAGCTGACGGCCCATTTGATAGAAAGTGGTAACCGTCGCCTATAGACATGACCAGTACCATGGACATAACAGAGTATACTGTTTCGCCCATGATACCCCCCATGCGTTGCCATTCCTGAGGACTCAGATGTTATTCCTCTGTACCCTGTAAATTCACGCAATATCCCACCCTTCAAACCGAAACACAGCCATGCAAACACAACTGCTTCGCGGTTTCAATTCTATAATTTGTATATTTACCTTTTAATTGACAAAGATATAGATATAATCGAACGTTCGATTCGTTACGAGTAAGATACACACTACAACAAATCGTTATATGCTGTACAATTCGAATTATGACTATAAACTAAGCGTAAAGTATGTAACAGAAAATTGTAAAATTTTCTATAAAAATACTTTACGATTCATCGCTGCATTACCAACTATACAGTTAAAAAGTTATGTTGTAGTGAATGTAACCAGCATTAGATATAATATAGAACATAGGAGCTTAACATAGCAGTTTAACCCCTTATTTACAATAACTACAAACTTGTTACCTATTTTAACTATTCAATTAGTTAGTCTCTTTTTTTAAAGGAAATTTCTAACATACAAAACATAGTTATAGTCAAAATTGGTTTGTAAACAACTTTAGTTTTCTTAAATAATGTAACTTTGGGATAGAAATTTGTAATAGACAAAAGAAAGCGCGAATGTTACGTTTCGTTTCACCAATGAAAATTGTGCTGTTTCCGTTTCGAATTCGCTCATATGTATAATTAAAGGGCTAAATTACGTGACATCATGCACATCACCGTCAATGGCAGGCCGATGCGTCATCGCGAAATGCCATCTCTTTGACGCTATCCCCTATTTCCCGCTCCACTTTGACACAGAAGAGTGACGTTCACGGAACGCGCCCTTCTCTTACTATCTGTCTATATAGTTCCTGTAATAGTTTCGTACGCTCGTACTTATCTGTACATCTGTATATCTATGGCCTCATCGTCAACACGATGTAGTTGTCATATGCGTAGCAGGAAAATGGGGATCGATTTGCGAAAGCTGCACACAACGAAAGCATTAGCGGAAGCACGCGAACGCACCGGACCTCGCTTCACGGTCTGCTGCCATCGCTCTATATCTATACCTCTAACAAAACAATCCACAAAAACCAAAAGCTTCCACTATTAACTGTACACTTGCACATACGAAAGCTCGCACGAAACTTTGGAATTGAGCCGCGAACTTGTACCTTCTCTGGTCGCTCGATCCATCCGCGCCTCCTTTTTTTCTTCGTACCGCTGCCTCGGAAACACAAAACGGTTCGAAGGACGCAAGCGAAAAATAAACAAAAAGGGAATAAGAGTTCGCGATCGCGTCAGTTGTGCGCGTGTCGCGTCGCGCGGTGCTAGGAGCGCGCGCGTAAAAACGCGACGGCGGTCGGCGGCTGACTGGCGCGCGCGTCGGCCGACGCAGCTGCCGCGGCGGCCAATGGCGGCCGGTCACGTGACGCGCCCCGCGCCCCGCGCCCGCACACGCTTGTTTACAAATAATAATAATAGAGCCGGTGGCGCCGCCTCTACACCGCGGCCGGCCGCCGCGCGGCTACGCGCTACGAGCTACGCACAGCTGTCGCTGCATTTGGCGGGATTCGATTCGAAGCACATTCGCTCAAAGCTTCGATCTGTTTTTGGTGCTTTCGCGTCGGCGTTCTATCGATCGGCACGCAACGCAACCTTGCAGCCGTCCGTTAGATTCTTTCGCTTTTGTAGTAATTAGTCGGAATTCATTTCCACATTATCTTCCGACTACCGTCATAATTTTATCTATCCGAATACGAGTACATTCGACAATTAACAAGTCTTATATTTGTGCTGTTAATTACTTGAAAATGATTAAAAAAGGGTTGACGGTAATAACTGGTAATGAAATTGTTTCGCAATTTTTGCGGAGGGTGCGACATTCCCCATTTGGCGACAGGTTGATGTTTCCGATTGTTTTGCGTTCAGGATGTAAGGTGCAAGAGGGTTTGAACCCCAGTTCATGTAGTACACCATAGCACACTCCCCTCGACCTAAATCTGTGATCTGAGGAGCCCCATGGACTCAGTACGGGCCGGGACACTTGACAGTCAGCTTTAATTGATCCCCTTTCCTATTAACTTCACACCTTAATATTGTCCCAGTTATAATGAAGGTGAACCACGAAAAGGTGCCTGTTTAAAATGGCCCAATATATTTTTTGACTTTTTTAAACGAACTTAAAATATTGTTATTTAGATACCTGTTTATATATAAATAAATAAATTTCAAATTCAAGTTATCTTTATGCAAATAGATTTATTTATATTTTTTTTTGTGAGTGGCGACCACGTACAGACAAAAGCAGTGTAGGACGACTGGCCACTCGATGTAGTGACGACCTCAAATGCATTGTAGGGAGTCAGTGGATGCAGGTGATAGTCTATGGGGAGGCCTATGTTCCGCGGTGGATAAATAATGAGATGATGACGAGATGATTATAAACTCTTTTAAATCATCATTTTTTATGTTTCTACCGCATAAAATAATTATGCTCACTGCTATTATCACGAATGAGGTAATAAGATGTATTAGTTGAACGTAACCTTGATTAGCCCATATTCCGTCGAGCATAACTTGAATCTAACTTGGAAAGGGGCGAGCCTACCGTCATTATAAGTGTTAATCAACGCTCAGTGAGAAAAATTTAAATTAACACATAAAGTTAAATCGTCGGTCTGCTTTCAACTCACGATCATGTTGGTACAATTGTGAATGTCATTTATTAACCGACTTCAAAAAGAATGAGATTATCATATTTTTTTTATGTTTGTTACCTCACAATTCCGTTATTTCTAAATCCATTTGGAAAATTCTTTTTTTATCTGATAGGATATTTTTACAAATTGGTCCCATAGAAGTTTTATGAAAATCGGTCCAGTAGTTTAGTTTTTAAATCATAATAACTGAGTATGTCACAATTAAAACCGGTTTCTTTTTTAAAATACAATCTCAGTTTTTTTTTTTCGGAAATAACAAATTATTATTAAGAGGGACCATACAGTCTAAATTATCGTATTGCTAATTTTGCATCACCTACTTACATATATTAAGTTTGTGTTCCATAAAAAAAGCTGATGTTTGGTCCCGGCATAGGGTGGCCACTTCTTCCTTTCTCGTGGGTGCTGTAAGAAGCGACTGGAACTTGACGGTCGAAGGACGAGCAGCTGCGTCTCTCTTAAAACATGACTAAAGCCTAACTGCGGTTGTCAACCAGTCTGCCAAGCGTGGCAAATACTGGCAAACCCCCCCATTAGAGGGAGGCCTGTGTTCAGCATGGGCTCGGTGTAGTGATATCAAAAATAAAAACTGTTCTTAACATATTTTTTAATTTCTGTTAAAAATCCGAATTGAAATTAAGTCGGAATCAGAGAGTTTAGATTTTATTTATTTATTTATTTATTCTTTATTGTACACAAAAAAATTACAACATATAATATATATAAAATAAAAATGTACAACTCTGTAAGAGTTCTCTTCCAGCAAACCCTGAGTGGAAAGGAGCATTAATTACTAGCGGGCAGTATGCGTACAATAATAATAGAAGGAAACATTATAGATGTTTCTATTAAAAAAAAATATATGTTGACATATATAAGTAACTCATACAATTAAAATCAAAATACATACATATCTGTATACAATAATACATATACATATATATGTTTTTATATAGATGATTCATTTCATATATATTGTTTTTTTTAATTCTTTGATATAAAATTTCTAGTAGCTAAGAAACTGGCACGATTAAATGTATAATATAGTACGGATAAAGTACAGTATGGACACAGTATATGGTAGAGTACCAGTATAGTATAGCATCTATACAAAATTTAATAGTCAGTAAGACGTAAAATTCAAATTAAATTAAAATAAAAACGTCCTTATGACGACTTCATAAACATCATATTACGACTTTTACTTGTTAGTACCAAAGATAGCGTTCCTTTTCATTATTTCTTTAGTTATATTAGTCCTTTTTTCTTTATCATATGCATTATTTATTCGAACTACATGATATTGCAAGTAAATAATTATGACAGAGGGAGACTTTGTACAAAAGTCGATTGCTTGGGTACCTCTGTCCCATTCGTGTTTCAACCGTGAAGCAACTGTGTTTGCATGGCTGTGTTTCGGTTTGAAGGGTGGGATATGGCGTGAATTTACTGGGTACAGAGGAATAACACCTGAGTCCTCGGGAATGGTAACACATGGGAGATATCATGGGCGAAACAGTATACTCTGTTATGTATATGGTACTGCTCGTGTCTATAGGCGACGGTTACCACTTTCCATCAGGTGGGCCGTTAGCTTGTTTGCCGTTCTAAGTTGTATAAAAAAAATAAAATAAATAATTAATTATACATAGAAACAGAACTTAATTCTAAATATAGTTACAGTACGATGTCACTGTAAAATTATCTTGTATATAAAAATTTGAAACGAGTAACTGTTGAGTTTCTTGCGGATTTTTTTCAATAGATAACAACATCCCGAATCCAGCAGTACAGTCATAAAAGAATTGACGTTTTAAAGGAGCTTGTAAACAAGTCAATTTGAGTATACGAGTAGATCTATTCTATTCTATTCTGTGCAATTATCTTCTAGAAGAAGAGTGTGGAATAAAAACAATTTTCGCCATATTAGTATTAATGGTATTGATCATGTAATTAAACATTATATATTACTATTTAGTTATGTAGTAATTGTATAGTAAATTTGGTATTTTTTTTTATATAATCTTTTACTTAATCTAACTTAGTCTTATCCCCTATTTGGCATTGTAATTTTACTGCAGCTTTGAAATTAGAACTGGACTAAAACGGATTCAATGACATAACATAGTGATACAGGGGAAAGGGATTATTAGTAATGGAGTCTAACTGACCCATTGCCAGCAATACACCCTATCAGGTCGACCTCCACGTGGTTCCACCTGGAAACTATCGTGGTTAGTTCTAGTGAAATTCGTTACGATGTGCTAACTGACCTGCTTTCATCGTCACCTATCATCGCTCACTGGTGCCCCGCCAGCGTATACCGATAGCGCAGGCGGGGTTACTATTCTATTATCATCCAATAAAAAAAAAACATAGTAATACGTTCCGTTACACACTTTTTCTTCTCCGCGCACGTTTTAACATAATCAAATATTATGCCTAATAAATGCAACATTTTGGTTGAAATTTAAGACAATATTATTCTTGATATAGCGTGTGTGATACGTGAAAGTGAAATGGAACGCCTGGCGGTTTTCTGAAATAGAAAAAGCAATTCTGAGAAAAACGAATATTTCATCCCGATCGCACCCCTTACCACTGTGACTCATCAGAATTTCACTGCCAGCGCCACCCAGTATTACTCATTCTCTGTTTAGTTGTAACATCATTATTTATCAAATTCATTATAATCGGACATCTGGCTCTATTATTATATTAATTACATTTTGAAACTTTTATAGTTATATATAATTATAGTTGTTTTGGATGATATATTAAATTTTTTGATAATAGAAAATCTCCTTCGAGATTAAAAATAAAAATTGAAAAGATTGCAATGCGTGCAAAACTGCAAACGGCGTTCTTGCATCGCACCGCGCCAATTTCATTGCTACAAAAGTGCGTAATATCGATTACTGGCTCCCTTACCCCATCCTCCGTCTCGCTCGCGCGACGCACACAGCCACCGCGGAAGTGAGAAAAGCGTAAATCGGAACGCACCGCGGATGCTACGACTTTACGCGGGGCCAGTAGACGCTATTTTAATGTTTTAGTTTGACATAGGCCATTTCGGTCGCGGCGTACGCGTCCCCCGCTGTCGTCGTCATGACAACCGATCTGTCACACGCACAGAACATAAAACGCAAGCATTGATTTTTTCCCTGCTTCCTCTTTTACTTTTACGCGTGTCGAGCGACTTTTTGCTTGAATTTTTATTTTTAAAAGCGCGAGTTTCGCCGCTTCTCCGTAAGTGCTCCCCGCTTTATTGACGACACTTTCAATTGTCCAATTGAAATTTAATTAACGAAAATATATATTTTTATATTTTATTTTATATGTCACTCTGTATTGTATTCTTAGTGATCAATAAAATAAGCAAGTGTTATATTTCGACAAATTAATTATGAGAAGTTGTAGAATAATTAAAAAGTTTTTTAATTTTTACTTTTGTTGACATTCTGTGGTCACCTATTTGAGATAGAATTGCTTTTATTTTTTATTTTTTTTTTTTTAATTTAGAATCGTATTTATTTTAATTTAAAAAAAAAACTAAATGAGTATTATGGATAATGACAATACAAACATTATTGTTGGTTACATAAAAAAGATCAAGTTTCAAGCCTAAGGGAAAATTTGTTAAGGTAGGCCCAGTAAGCCCAAGGGTGCGGGTCTAAGGGTTGAATTTTCTATCCCTCACAGATGTGGCGATTTTCACCCTCTCACTCTCTCGTTAACTCAATAAGAGGAAAATATGTTGTCTCGGAGGGCGCTATCGAGATTAATCGCGATTTTTGCAAAGATTTATTGCTTTCCGTACAAATTATATTATGTATTAAAAATATATTTTTTTTTTAAATGCGTCACTGGCCAAAGACAAAATATACAGTCAAGGAAAGACTATAGTATTTACATGTAACGATTCATATTTTCGTCCCATTACCGGGTAGTTGATATTGATTGACCAGGTCAAAATGCTAAATTCCCTATTTACTAAATGTATGCTTTGTATGATATAACAGTGAATTTACAGGGTACAAAGGAATAACACCTGAGTCCTCAGGCATAGCAACGCATGGGGGGTATCATGGGCGAAACAGTATACTCTGTTATGTCCATGGTACTGCTCATGTCTATAGGCGACGGTTACCACTTTCCATAAGGTGGGCCGTCAGCTTGTTTGCCATCCTAAGTTGTATAAAAAAAATTACCATCAATATTAGTGTTCCAGGGGTTTATTTTTTGTATTTTTTTTTATGAATGATAATATTGGGGTAATCCCCACTGCGCTATAGATTTATGTTGGCAGGACATCAAGTAGGGATGATAGGTAAGGATGAAGTGAGGACATTTGGCCCATCGTGACGAATTCACAATGAAGTAATGAGGAGAAACCACGAAGAGGGACATGGTACACCCTTTTTAGTGGACCTCTTTCTTCTCTATTGCAATCAATATTGATGATTGATGGCAAAGGAGTTGATGATCCTTATTCCTAATACTCCCTTCCCCCTAATGTTCCAGAGGGAATTGCGTAGATGTCAACCTGACGGAGTATATTGCTAGAAATAGGACTATGGGGTTTACCCGTGACTAAAAATCAGAGGGGGAAGGGATTGTTAGTAATGGGAGTCTAACGTCTCCATTACTACTAATATAGGGTATATTCAGGTCAGGTTAATCGTGATTTCCCCTGGAAGCCATCTTGGTAAATTCTTGTAGAATTCGTCACGATGGACTAACTGACTTGCTTTCATCCTCACCTATTATTCCTCACTGCTGTCACGCCAGTATATGCCAAGAGCGCAGGCGGGGTAACCATTGCATTATCACTCTTCAAAAAAAACTTTTTGAGGGGGTTATCCTGCGTCGTTTGTCGATACGAGGTCGCCACATTTATTGGGATCGGTGAAAATAAAAACGAATACAATAAATTATAATTTTCATCAATTTATTACTTTAGGAATAAACGTTACAATTATGTATTAAATAACTAACAACCACTTGTACCTAATATTTACATAGTCACAACTATACTAGTATTAATACTTGGTTAAATGTTTAGTGCCAAATCTAATTTTGTTACTTTACAATTATAATACTCTGCCTAGGACAATTGCGGTTAGCGTTATGTAGATACGAAACAATGTAGAGACACGTCGCCGGTGATTATAAAAAAAAAAAACTAAATATATTTTATGGTACTTTTTTGATTACGGTTTTTTTAAACTGAATGATACAAATTTATATCTTCATTTGCTTCGGGCTTCGGTGGCTGTAGTAAAGCAATGTTGGAGATCTTTGTAAATAACAACAACAACAAGGCATCTCATTGCCCACCAGATGGTGTGGGCGGGCGAGGTACGGGCCTCGGGGCGTACCCCACTACCCCGGCTTCAACTCCGGAGGCAACAACCTCCGGGTCACTGGGTATCAAGCCGACATATACTGCTGGTCTGTGTATGTCGGCGTGGCGCTTTTTTGTAAATAATAAAGGCGGTCTCTTGACATCAGAGGGTGACACAAGCAATAGTTCTGATTATAATAGGCAAATCATTGTTATCATCATCATCATAACGGGAATGACGTCGTGTCTCAACATTGTTGACAAAAAAGTATTTGTCTGATTTGCAATACCAGGCCCTTATGGAGAATAGCCATTAATTAATTTTAACTTAATTATCATTTCACACTACTTACTTCACCGTCATCACATTCTTGTACAGACATGTCATTAATCGTATATATTCACTATCAAAATAGACAGTCTCACACAATATGGATGAACTCTGAGCAATCATAGTCCATAGTACGAGATCTTTATTAAATTCTTAGCCTCGGTACAGTTTTACTACAGAGTGGCTGGTGTGAGTTGTACAAAGATTTACGTTACGATTGCTTTCCCATAAGTTGATACGAAAGGGAGAGGAGATAGATTCCTCGTCATTGCTAGAAGTCTTTAACAGATCGACTTCCACGCGGAGACGCCCGGAAAACGTCGTGGTTAATTCCTGGTAAATTCGTCACCATTGTATTATAATGGCGCAGTCAATATTACCTATTCATGTTTAGAAACCAAAGTTTCCGCAACTATCCGCTAGAGGCGCTGTTTTGTTGTCATTACAAATTATCGACAAAAAAGTAAGGCAGTTATATCGTAAATATTTGTACAAACTCATACTGCTCTCACACTGTATTCTAGTAGGATTAGGTATACTTTATAGTTTAACATTAGTTAGAGCTTGTGAAGTTGTGAGTTCAAGTTATGGATTGTAGTTCAGCAGTGTTTATTATGATAAACACAATAAACCTCGCGGTATGTACGGGGATGCTGCGGGGAAAGATACCTGTCCCGTGGGATCATGCATTTTAGATTTTTTTCATTCAATAAATATAATGATTCAGTATTTAGTTCATTGTAATATTGAATATTGTTTTCTTTTATTAAACCAAGTTTAATAAAAAGTTTAAAAATCAACAATTAATAAAGAAATCTCAGATACTTTTTTTTATGCATAGCATTATACAATGAAAAAATAATCCTATTTTGATTACGTATAAAAGAATTCTGCAATACGAAAAAGTGCCTGTTATTTTAAACATACATTATATTTTTGATAAATTCTCAGGCACTTAAATTTAATACTTAATAATTATACTTATAATTACAAAAATAAAAATAATGATATCACCCAGTGACGCCATCTATTATCGCATAGTAGGCACTAGCAGCCAAAAGTGAAAAATGATTTGTAGTTAGATATAATAAAATTTACTTATATTAATAGATTTAAAAAAAAAACGTCGCTGTATATAGCGACAACTTTGTTTTTGTCAGTAATATTTATTCTTTAATATCAATTAAATTCTTTACTAGCCTTATTAATGGCTAATGTAATAATTCGGAATATTATAAAAATAAACAAAGATCGCAAGTTAAAAGAATACGTTGAAATAAACAAAAAAATTTTTATAGAAAACAGAAATGTTATGACATCATGAATGTAAACTTAAAACTATGAAGGCAGTGTTATAAGGGGAAAAGCTGGCAAAATATAATGTTGTTTACTATTATAAGGTCTTTTTAATGTTTCTTGGTATTAAAGTCAATTATAGTAATATAGTGCCATCTAATGATTAATAGCATGAACATATAACAGTTTTATTTGTTTTAATACCTTATAATTCAATCACACATTATTCATTTATATAACAATATTAATTCATATTTAGTTATTAGCTATAATAGTGCATTGGCAACAGCTAGGTATCCAAAATATGTCAGTGTAAAGATTTTGTCCGCTTGCTTCTAGTGCCACCAAACGTTTTTGGATATATTTTTGTTCACATCTAGAACTGTATCCCGATGGTAGCGAGCACAAACCACTGCAATCTGTTGATCTGTATAATAAGAATGAAAAGTATATTAGAGTTATAATTAAAAATTTAACTTTTAGAACTAAATATCAGTATTAATAGTTATTCTATTCGACGCTAGATGGCGCACAGACAGATATCTTTAGTTTCGTGGATTTTAATTGTATTAAAATAAAATAAATATCTTTAATAAATAAAAATATACTCACGTGCAGATTTCAGCGCGCACCAGTTGCGTCATATTGTCGGGCATGTTGACGACGTAGCGCCAGTTGCCCTTGTTGTTGAGAGCTGCTCGGGGAGTGATGTATTCGGTCCGTACTCGGCATAGTTCTTGAGTATTTGCCGCTTGACGTCGGGGGCGCTCTGCTGAAGTCTCTGCACTAATACAAAATGATAATAGACATTTCAAGAAAGTTGAAATTTAAATATTTGACCTGAGTGCCTAGCGAGAGTTGCACAAAGATTTTCTGAAACATGATTGATTTTATTATTTAGTTGGTCACTGAATAAAATTGGACACGAAATACTAGATGGCGCTAGAATTCATTTTCTCCCGCGAATGCTCAGGCGCAGGTTTCCTTTCAACGTTTTCCTTACTGACTACAGTAGTGGGTTTTCATAAAGGGTATTTTAAGGTTTCTCCAAAATTGGCAACGCGCACTTGACACCTCTAGTGATGCAGAAGCCCATATGCTATAGTGAACGTTTATCATCAGACGGGCTGTATGCTTATTATGTAAGATAGCAAACCTATCTTCGTGGTATAAAAGAATATATTTCAGAGGTATTGTTACATGTGACCTAGTCACAATTATTGTTATTAATATACTGTTATAATTTACCTAGCCAACCCCAAAGCTATTCTGAGTGCTTCAGCTCCAGTGAGGGTCCTCTTCGCGGATTCTTTCACCAACTCAGCGTTGCGTCGCCGCCGTGTGCGGTGGACAGTCGACGAGCGGGTCGGAAAAGTCACGGAACGTTGCACTGTCACGTCTGAGCGAGACGGAGATATGTATCTGGATAGAAGCGAAAAGGAAAATAATCATGAGTCATAAAATATAAAAATAAATTATTTATTGACCGCATTACAAAAATGTTTGGTACAAAAGGCGGACTTTATGCTATATAGCATTCTCTCCCAGTCAACCTTTGGCAAAACAGAAATGTAATTATGCGGCGAATAAATTGAAAATTGTTAGAGATAATCACTTACAGACGTATATAGATTGACTTAATAATATAACAACACATACAATATGATTGAATCGAAGCATTTGGCATTCCATTGTTTCTGCCTACCCTAATGGGAGACAGACGTGACTGTAACATATGTATATATACAATATGGAACTACTGCATATTATGATTACATAAATATACTTACATGAATACATTAAACAAATATTATTTACATATAAAAATATATATTATAAAAACAAACAAACATCTTTATCGAATAAAACTTTGTACAAGTGGCCATATGGCATTTTGTATCAGCTAACCATTAGGTAAGAACAGAAAGCGTATGAAGGGCAGATGTGGTGCAAATATGTGACATAATTACATATATATAAATTTGACGTATGTATATTGGATGTAGACTCCCAGAGGGAGACTTTGTACAAAAGTCGATTGCTTGGGTACCTCTGTCCCATTCGTGTTTCAACCGTGAAGCAACTGTGTTTGCATGGCTGTGTTTCGGTTTGAAGGGTGGGATATGGCGTGAGTTTACTGGGTACGGAGGATAACATCTGAGTCCTCAGGAATGGCAACGCATGGGGGTATCATGGGCGAAACAGTATACTCTGTTATGTCCATGGCACTGCTCATGTCTATAAGCGACGGTTATCACCTTCCATCAGGTGGGCCGTCAGCTTGTTTGCCATTCTAAGTTGTATAAAAAAAATGTAGTTGGCAATATTGATTGTAAAATATATTTATTATTGTTATTCTAATATTGAATACTTCTAATATTGAATTTAGAACTTTTTTCTATGATCATGCATAATTTCAGACGCAATGTACATTGTTTATTTACTAGTATACTCACTTCCACCATTCGCTGGGGTTATAGTGTGTGACTCCGCTGGAAGCCTGCCGAAACCAATCGGTCGAGTCGTAATTCGGGTAAGCATTATTATTTGGAGTGCTATAGCCGTTTTGATTGAATCCGAAATTTTGATTAATAGCCGTCTGCCTGTAGACTTTCTTGTCGTAATTGTTCTCGAACTGGTTGTGAGTAGGGTTCCAGAACCCTGGTGATGAGGTGTGGTAGCCGTGGAACCCGAATTTCGTGAAGTTCGATGATTGGAATGTGTTGATGTTGTATGGGGAGGGGTCTGCCGGCGATGGTGGTTGCAGGGGTGTTTTTTGCGAGAAAATATCTGAAAAAAATATATTATAAATAAATTAATATAACTATTTAGTAGCTACAATTTCTGTTTTTTTTTAATTTTTATTATCGCTTGCTATAAAGAATATTGTATTCCACAAAAAAACCGATTTCAATTGTGACAAAACCAGTTATTTTGATTTGAAAACTAAATTACTGAACCGATTTTGATGAAATTTTTATGGGACAAATCTGTAAGTATTTTATTTCACATATAAAAGATTTTTTTCAATGTGAGGAGTTCTGAGGTAACAAATATAAAAAATACAAGCAAATTGAGAACCCCCTCTTTTTTGAAGTCGGTTGAAAAAGATAATGTTTATTTCTAGCTCATATTTCTGTTCCACTTGTATCCCTATCATGAAGAACTTTATTTATTTATAAAAAACAGGTTGTCGTGCAATTGTTCTTACATTTATCTAGGTTGGTTGAATGGATGATAATGGAATGATGACCCCGCCTGTGCTGTCGGTACACGCTGGCGAGGCACCAATGAGGGATGATTGGTGAAGATGAAAAGGCAGGTCAGTTAGCCCATCGTGACGAATTCAACGATAAATTAGTCACGATGGTTTCCAGGGGGAACAGCATGGAGGTCGACATGGTAGGGTACATTGATGACAATGGGAACTAACCTCCCCATTACTAACAATACCTTCCCCCCATTCATCTAACTTTGGAGGATAGTACATATTACAATAAAACTACAGAATTCGGAAGCGTAACACCATAGTCCTCAGCAATGGTAACACAACTAGAATGCACAGAGAAATAACAACTGAGTCCTCAGGAATGGCAAAGCATGGGGGGTATCATGGGCGAAACAGTACACGCTGTTATGTCCATGGTACTGCTCATGTCTATAGGCGACGGTTACCACTTTCCATCAGGTGGTTCTTTTAGCTTGTTTGTCATTCTAAGTTGTATAAAAAACGAGCATTTTAGTTTATTCTGTGAAGTGGATAGTGCTTTTCATTACTATAGGTGGCCGTTACCACTTTTTATCGAAAATTTTCTCATTGAGAACTTTGACTAATGCTTATTTAAACCTTTTTTCTGTAGACAAGTTTATTAAACTAACCATGGTTAAATCTGGTGTGATACTTCGTATTAAAATTCTTCTGGTATATCCCATCGTTGACCAACGAGATCTGGTCCACGTGTGGGAGCGAATTGGGCCCATAACCGTATGGGTAGTCAACTTTTTTATTAGAGTTGAAGTCATCGCGACTCTCGTCTGATAGAAGAGTCCGGATGTCATACTGTCCAGCTTCTATTAATTGCCGGATCACGTGTCTGAAAATAAATTGTATAATATGTTATTTGTATGATCCGTTAACTGTCCACTGCTGAACATAGCCTCCCCCATAAGGGGAGATTTGCCAGTTGCCACGCTTGGCAAGCGGGCTGGCAATTGCAGTTAGACTTTGATGATGTTTTAAGAGAAACGCTGCTGCCTATCTCTTTACCATTAAATTCCTATAGTCGCCTGTTAGGACACTCACGGAGAAGGAAGGGGTGGCCTAATCTATGTTGGGACCACACAGCAATATGTTAGTTATAACTACATTTGTGTAAGTACTTTATAATTATATGAGAATAAATAAGTGTATTAATATATAATGGGTGATAATGGAATGGTAAACCCACCTACACTACTGGGATACTTTGGCGGGGCACCAGTGGAGGATGATAGATAAGGATAGAAGAAGTTAGCTAGCCTATCCTGACAAATTTCACAAGAGTTAACCGATACAGTTTACAGGGGGAACTATATGAGGGTCGACTTGATAGATCCCCATTATTAACCATCCCATCCCCCAGTATAAATATATTTTATTAAATTTATTATTAATAGTATGTATCATAGCATGTTGCAATTTGAGGGATGGTATATGTCAGTGAAATTGCAGTGTACGGTGGCATAACATCATCATCATCATCACATCAGCCGTTAACTGTCTATTGTTGGACATGGGTCTCCTCCCATAGACTGTCTTGAAGAATGGTTTCAAGTTATCGACATTTATGCATTGCAATACATTTAAGTTCGTCGTTCCATGTAGTGGGGGTTGTCCTAAACTGCGTTTGCCTATACGATGTTGCCATTCAAGATCCTTTCTTCTACATCGGTTGTTTTTTTTTTATACCACTGAGGTGGCAAACAAGCATACGGCCCACCTGACGGTAAGTGGTTACCGTAGCCTATGAACGCCTGCAATACCAGAGGTATTCCGCGTGCTTTGCCGACCCTGAAGAAACCTCTTTTGAAGAACCTTCGAGCTATGTGATCAGCTTGTTGCCATCTCAGCTTATATATCTTATGGGCTATGTCGGTTTTTTGTATTTTTCGGTACCACATCGCACAAGTGTGGTATAGAAGTATAGAAGCCAATAGAAGCAAGTGGAAGGAAAGTCAATGGCACTCCATTGGCATCATAGTGTATTCTGTAATGTCCAAGTTACTGTTCATGTCTATAGGCGACAGTCACCGCTTTCCATGAGGTGGGCCGTCAGCTCGTTTCCTATTCTCGAATGTAATATAAGCTTCTTGTTTTTTTAGCGTTCTAATTTTGAGATAACTCACTCAGGGTACGGATCAGGATATAAGCAGTAGGTGAGGCCGGGCTGCGCGCACGCAGGCGCCCGGCCCGGTGGCGCAGGTTCAAACCCACAGTTTTGTCCGTAAGGGCAGCTGTATCCATCACCGCCACGTGTAGTAGTCCATATTAACTGAAATAAAAAAAATGATAAAATAATATAATACTATTTTTCTATGAGTATAACGCTTGATAGGAATCAATTAAGACATAATAAGAGAGAGGACATAGTAATAAGTAGAGTGAATTCCATTCGATGGATCGAACCTGCATTTAAATATCAGAGGAGTTAAAAGAAGTAGTAAAGAAGTGAAGTTATTAGCGATTCCGAATATGAGGTGTCAGAAGGCCGAAGAATTCATCATCTAGTGAAAATTATGAAAATTTGGAAATTTAACATGGCGGCCGAGCTAGGGGCGATTAAATTTTTGAACAAATTATCGGGATATTTTCAAATTTAATTAAGGGATACATGGCAATCCAGTAAACTCGAGCGCTAAGTATTGCCAGCATTAAAAAATCTTCCGATTTTTTTTGGAAGTTTGAAGAGATTCTCCAAAAGGTGAGAAAAAGATTTTTTTTCACATTTCAAATGAAATCAAGGACTAATGTGATTATATTTGAAGCTACCCCCTTTGGGTATATTTTTTTGACTGACTTGAAGATTTTAAAAGTAGGCTATAACAATTATAGAAATTGAATTTTATTTATTTATTTAACTTTTTATTACCCCAAAAAAATTACATATAAACAATTTAACTGAAATACAGTAGCATGGGGTACAGATCAAAATATACATATAAAGGTACAAAAAGCGGTCTATTATTAATTTATTATTAATTTTCCACATATTTCTATAATATAGAAAAGGAGATACGTAAGTTGTAAAAAGATTACAATAATTTTATAAATTTTGGTTAAGAGGAATTTGTTGTTAACCGTCGAGGTAATTGACATAATTATAATCTCTTTAAGACTAGTGTTACTGTATGTGCCTATTTTTATCTTTTAAGCCTACACTGTGTAAGGAAACAAACATACTGCCAATTTTCATTATTTTATCAACTACATAATTGTCTTATTGTTATTATTATACTGTCCATTCTTGTGCCATAGATAAATGTCACATAAAATTGGATTTAAAAAAAAAGTATCTAATTTATATATTATAATTACACCAATATAAAAATTCTATCTAAAAAATTTCTAATTAGCACACTGTTTTGCGTTTTTCCGAGACATTATTACAATTTTTCTCTTCATAAGAACGTTCCTCGGGCTTCAACAATTGTTAGTAAAAAAATTCTTAATTGGTTCTTAAGTTATGCATATATTTAGTATCATATTTATTTTTATTTATAAACATTGGATTGAAACGTCGGTATATAATTTCGTTTCGCATTTGCTGATTTGCATTTCGTAATAGGTACCTCTGCTACGTGGTTTCTCTATAAGTTTATTGCAGGACAAAATGTTCTATACATTTGGACGTTTGAGGTTGCTTCATCTAATGAATGGAAGGATTTATCACCAGCCATTCATAGCTAATGTTACATAATATGGTGTCGGTGGCTCAACTTATAATACCAAGTCATAAAACATTAATATTATCTTAGACATACAGCTAATCTGGTAGAATTACTAGAAGGAGACTTTGTACAAAAGTCGATTGCTTGGGTACCTCTGTCCCATTCGTGTTTCTACCGTGAAGCAGTTGTGTTTGCATGGCAGTGTTTCGGTTTGAAGGGTGGGATATGGCGTGAATTTACTGGGTACAGAGGAATAACATCCAAGTCCTCAGGAATGGTAACGTCCATAGTACTAACAATCCTTTCCTATTGTGAGTATATTTGATATTTGCTCAAGGCCCAAATTTATGACTAGTACTTAATAAATTATTCTGAATATTAAATGTAACAGATGGTATGAAACGTCGCGAACACAGCTCGCAGTGAGAATTTGAGCTGTTTAATCAATCATACTTGTTGTTAATGACTCTATTCAGATTGTGTTACAACATACATACATACACACAGGTTGTTATGCAAATAGTGATTATAATTTCTCTTTCACATCCTCTGCATAATCCTCTATGATGTTATCTATCCTGAGATTATGTAGATGGAGCAGCGAGTGTTAAAAAACGGGAGAGGGAAACATTATCAGAGGGAGACTTTGTACAAAAGTCGTTTGCTTGAGCACCTCTATCCTTTGCAGTTGTGTTTGCATGGCTGTGTTTCAGTTTGAAAGGTGAGATATGGCAGTGAATTTACAGGGTACAGAAGAATAGCACCTGAGTCAAGACTGGCAACACATGGGGGATATCATGGGCGAAACAGTATATTCTGTTATGTCCATGGTACTGCTCTTGTCTAAGTTACCACTTTCCATCAGGTGGGCCGTCAGCTTGTTTGCCATTCTAAGTTGTATAAAAAAAAAACAATCTGTCGTGTTCTTTGAGACAAAAAAATAATTTTCCAAATCAGTTTATAACTGACGAAGTTGAGGCGACAAACATAAAAAAGACACAACCGTAATTAGCACCTCCTTCTTTTGGAGTCGGTTAAAAATGAAACTAAGATAAAGACGTCAGCATAGAAATAAAAAGTACTATTTTATCCAATGACATCAGTAAACTCTTTTAGAATTTTTCACTTTTGCTTTTATTGTTACGTAAATGGATAATCGTGTAGCGTTCATGTCATAGTTTAGATGAATCAAACCGCCTCACTTGTAAGCGAAACACGTAATGGAAAGTGGCGGCCGCTAATCTAACTCGCTCGTGGAATCGAACGGGTACTCAGTATACAGTGGGAAAATTTGTTCTTTTACTGTTACGTAATGAAAGGAAGTTTAGAATATATTATAGGAGGAATTATATCGAAAAGTCTTAGATCGGTTCCTTCTAAAAATATGATGTCTATGTAAAATTATATTGTTTTCATTCTATGACGTCCATTTTATAAAAATATAAGAAAATATTAACATATGAAACAGATGTACCCAGTCAATTCACGCCATATCCAACCCTTCAAACCGATATACAGCCATGCAAACACAACTGCTTCACGGTTGAAACACGAATGGGACAGAGGCACCTAAGCAATCGACTTTTGTACAAAGTCTCCCTCTGGTCCCACAGAAATTTTATCAAAATCGGTTGAGTAGTTTAGATTTGAAAACAAAATAACTGGTTTTGTCTCAATTGAACTCAGTTTTTTTTTTTGTGTAATACAATTTTAAATTACATGATTTTCAATCTATGGTAAATCTTGTAGTAGTATGATTCGTTTGGATGTTTGAAGTACTAGTATATAATATTATATTCTCTGTGTTTGTAGATATGTGAGATGGTTAACTGTATTAGAGAGATACATATGGCAAGTAGAGATACATGACTTTGGAATACATGGAATTTTTATAGATTTATTTATTTATTTATTCCTTAGTACAAATATGTGTACATGGCGGACTTAATGCTAAAAGCATTCTCTCCCAGTCAACTATAGGGAAGTGTCAGAATACTCGAATGCGAATAATTAATTTTTATTTTTATATTTTATGCACGAAAAGTTATTAATTCACTCTTGCGCCACCTGCCCATTTCTATCTGTTCTCCTTTAACCAAAGGTTGTCTGTAAGAGATTACCCTAGCGATAAAATCGCGTTTTGTACCTTTATGTGTATATTTTAATCTGTATTTATGTTACTGTATTTCACTTGAATTATTCACTTGTCATTGTATATTTTTATTTATGGTGCAATAAAGAGTTAAATAAATAAATAAATCTTTATTTGTATAATTTTATTTTTTATTTTACTATAACAGGGAAACATACAATACCTAAAACATATAAATAGTAAACACAATCATAACATAAATCAGTGAAGTTTCCACAATAAACCAAACAAAATAAACGAGAACAGATGACTAACATAAAAAAGGAATATACAAAAAAAAATACAAAAAAAGGAAAAGAATTATTCAATAAGTATTAACAATTTAAACAAATTTTTTTCCTGTCCTTCTCAAACGAAGTTTGCCCGAAGTTCTTCTCTACCATGGTATAAAATAGACTATTCTATAGAGAATGAAACAAAAGTCTAAAAAAAGCATATTTATCGCAAACGTCAAACACACGAAACTGTGTCAACATCATCGTACTCATATTAATTGCCCATTGCTGAACATAAGCCTGCCTCTTGGGCGGTTTTTTTTTGATGGGTGAAAATGGTATGGTAACTCCGCCTGCGCTAACGGGTTACGCTGGCGGAGCACCAGTGAAGGGTGATAGATGAGAATGAAAACAGACCAGTTAGTCCATCATGATGAATTCATCAGGGATTAACCATGATAGTTTCCAGGGAGAACCGCGAGGAGGTCGACCTGGTTGGGTATATTGCTAGCAATGGGATTCTCAGTCTCCATTACTAACAATCCCTTTCCCCCACCTCTTGGGCGGTTTTGCCAGTAGGCGCCACGCTTGGCAGGCGGATTGGCAACCGCAATCAGGCTTTAGAGATATTTTAAGTGGGACGCTGCTGCTCATCTCTCGCCCTTACTTAGTCACCTCTTACGACACCCACGGGAAAAGAAGGGGTGGTCTATTCTATGCTGGGACCACATGGCTGTACAAAACTCTGTATAATTGTTTAATCTTGTATTTGGGATTAAAAAGGACATTTGTTGTAGACTATGAGTTACCTGCATAATTTTTTTTTGTAAAACAAATATTAAGTTATATTTTAATAGGTGAAAATTGAATGGTAACCCCATCTGCGCTATCGGTATACGATATAGGTGGGGTACTAGAGAGAGAGAGAGAGATGATACGTGAGTATGAATGTAGGTTAGTTGGCTTATCATGACGAATTTAACAAGAATTAACCATGACAATTTCCAGGGAAAACCGCGTGGAAGTTAGCCTAATAGGATATATTACTAGCAATGGGGCTGTTAGACCCCTTTACTAACAAACCCTTTCCTCCCTATAAATATTGAGTTAGAAGATAACATGTTAATTATGTAAAAAATGTTATAACTTTAAAATTTATTTTCGACGGTACGGCACATTGTGTTAAGGCGGGAACTCGTCCTTAACTATGTTTAACTTTTTTTTACTTCATTTTTAA